CTGGCCAAAGCTAAAGTTACCTTCCGGTTACGTTGCTGAGCGACCGGTCCTCCGTGTTCTGCTCCTCTTACTGTTGTGAAAGCTGTTAAACATTTTAGATAAACGCAGTTTCAGTTTTGTGAAACCTTTTATTCGGTTTAGACCCGGTGTTCTGACGATATATGTTGCGTTATCGAAAAATTCTACCGTATCGCAAATCGATAGCAGAGTCTATATAGTCGCTCTGCCCTATCAAATAATATTACCTACTAATACTATGTGTTCACTTTTCCACTCTCATAATGTTATAATTCTCACAGTATTATGACATCTTCTGGTTTTTTTTGATTATATTATAACATCAATTCAGGGGTAGCTGATTATGATCTGACTAATATCCCCAATATCAAATAATGCTCCCACTACAGAATAATTTTATATTATAAAACGGGTAGCTCAAATTAAGCAATCTGATTGGTTCATAGTAGTGATAATGAGCGTATACACTGCGACATACAGGGTTCAATTTCTAAGCTTCGTGGGGGTCTCATGGCCCTTTTACACCTGGTATTAAAATACGAAATAATATAGATCCCATTTTACCGGGCGGAGATAAAATAATGAGAGAGACAGAGAGAAGTTATTGCTTATTACGTGTTCAACATTTCCCTCTCTCACAAGATGAAAACACACACACAGCAGTCCACTATTTTGCCCCAAATGTCTGCGATATTGCAATAAAGTTTAAGTTTCAAAAGACTGTTGCTCAAGGAGCGACGCAATTCCGGCCTTTATGTTAGATCTAATATTAAATTATTAATATTTATGCACTTCTGGCCGCCGGCAAACAGGATCAAGAATATCATCATATGGCCAAGTTTTTTTTTTTTTTTTTTACTGCAAATAAATAAATAGTTCTAATAATTCTAGCCTTTGATGTATGTTGCTTAGCAACCGTCATGCATTATGCAGCCTACCGGCAGCCTGGTGGGACTACTTTTTGTATTCATAAACAAATGTCTGTTGATAAAATAAAGTCAAATTGTAGTGCGTCAGTTAGCCTAGTTAAAAATTTTTTTGTTGATATTGTATATATTGACGATCAGCCACTGTCTTGACGGCATGCCCAAGAGCAAGGTTGCACAGATTTATGGGCGTGGAAACAAACCACGCTTGTGGATGGATGGATAGCAGGTCCTGCGCATGTGCCTGACCCCATCCATCCATCGTCAACCGCTTCTCCAATCCCAGCTGACATCGGGCGAAAGGTAGGGTACACCCTGGACAGGTCGCCAGTCCATCGCAGAGATAATATAATATAAAGTATAAAAATCTAAGAATATAATATTGATAATAAGTCAGAATTAAAGCTGCAAGCAGCGTTGGGCGGGCCCTCGCACTTGTAGCGCGTCCAGGTGTGAGCCGGCCGAGTTGCATATTCTGGAGCTCTGCCGGTGCGGCTGTGAATTTGCTACGCGGTTCCGACGCCGCATGAAGGTGTTATATGTCACTTCCTGTGTCCCCTATATGGAGCTACATAGCACTTGCCGCTATGAATATAAATCGGTATTGGCGTGTAGATGTCTGCGGGGTGGGAGAGTTATCAAGCACGTAAAGTTTGGTTCAGATGTGACCATGTACACTGAAGTTACAACAACTTCCTGTGTCATGGCGAAGACTTGATATTTGACGCCACGCCACGGACACGCCCATTGACGAAAACTCGCAAATAGCACAACTTTTCATCTTCAATGCCTTTAGAAGGCACAGCACAAATTTGAGGTCGGTCGGACTAAATCCCTAGGAGGAGTTCGTTAAAGTACGAAGTGTGTAAATCATCCAAAATTTGACGTAAAATTCAAAATGGCCGACTTCCTGTTGGGTTTAGGCTATGGCTCCAAGAGGCTTTTTTGTGCGTCTGGACAAGATACACGTACCACAGAAAATTCGTGCACGTAGGTGAAACGTGCGGCGGGGGCTGCTTCATTAAAGGTCACTTTCTGTTGCCAGCAGGTGGCGCTATGACTGTGGGTGAATGTCGGCATGTACATGTGTTCAGGGTGGGACTCTCATCATACATGTACAGTTTGGTCCAGATGTGAGCATATACACTGAAGTTACGACAACTTCCTGTGTCATGGCGAAGAGTTGATCTTTGACGCCACGCCACGGACACGCCCATTGACGAAAACTTGCAAATAGCACAACTTTTCATCTTCAATGCCTTTAGAAGGCACAGCAGAAATTTGACGTCGATCCGACTAAATCCCTAGGAGGTGTAAATCATCCAAAAATGGCCGTAAAATTCAAAATGGCCGACTTCCTGTTGACTTTAGGCTATGGGTTCTTGAGGCTTTTTTGTGCGTCTTGATACGATACATGTCCCCAGAAAATTTCGTACATGTAGGTTGAACGTGAACGTTTGCGTAGCATGAGTTTTTGGATGTTGAGAGAGCGTGTTTGTATAGGAGTATATGATCATTGTACATCTGTTTATGTACAGCAAGAACAGTCTTTTTGTAGAGCCTCTCCAGGCGGCGTCATAAGGTCTTAAGCTGACGCAGTTTGGATGTGTATAGGTAAATGAGACAGTCTTTGTTTTTAGGGGCTAAAGTGTCCAGTGCATAAGATAAACCATCATTGTAGAAGTTGACACGCGAGAGTACAGCTGCCGAGGAAGTATCAACCTGGCATGCTACGCTGTACCGTGACTTGCTGTACAATGGCCTCTGGCTTGACAGAACCTGACACTGCCGAAACTTTAGTGTTAAACAGGAAATATAATCACCTGCCAGATGTGAGACAACTATTTGCGTTGGTCTGTGAAATCGTCGGGCTATCCGCCACTTTGGAGGACAGACAAATGCACAACAGAAAGACACATGTAGCACGGTTGGCGTATTGTGGTGATTGGTGCACGGGCCTGCCTCGTGGACTATTATGGAGATGGGAACTAATATAATGACTCGTTAATTGGTGGTTGAACGTTGAGTTTTGTATTGAGTGCTTACCACTCTGTAGTAAAGTAAGTTCACCACACTTACTTTTACTTTTCTTGTCATCTGATGATATAATTATTTAATGCCATGGCTTGACTCTCAAATGATGTTTCTCTCAAATTATTAGAATTTGAAACTACTTCTCCCCCATTGCTCATAATATCATAAAATCGCTTTGCACTTGCACAAATTTCACCATGTGTCTTGAATATTTGCAGTGTGTGCCGCATAAGATCCCATCGTTGTTTGCTGGACGTCACACTGCCTCTTGCAGACAGGACAACTTTATGAACACTCCATGAGGCAGCTTTCAAAAACTACATACTTAGTATCCCTGTAGGCAGACACTGGCTCAAATCTGACAAAACTGAGTAGTACATTTTTGCTTTCCTTCACTGAATTTTTTTTACCCTGATAACTCATAGTAACATGTAATATAAATATCGAAATGGCACAGATTCCTGAATTAGAACAGAGTCACCAGGATTAAATGTTGTCATGTGTAGGGATGGGTATCACTACTCAATACCTTTTATGGTGTCAACCGAAACAGCCCAGTATCGAGTAAAATCCAAAAGTCTCCAGTCAATCCAAAAGAAAGAGAAGAGCATGCCTTTTTTCCTGATGTGCCCGCACCAAAAACTGTAAAAAAAGACCTGCAGCGCAGAGTCCATGCATGATTTTAACATCTACTCACCTTCGGCTGCGCGTCAGGTATGTTCTTCACTGTTGCAAGTTTATCACCACAAGCTTGGCTTTTCGTTGGTTTCATCTTCTGGTGTCATTTAAAACTTATCTGTACATTTTTATTTACTGTTCAGATCACTTGTCACTGATTGATCGCTGATAAATCGTGCATGTTAGCCATGTGTATCGTCACACCCCTAATCTGAACCCTTATGTCCACAGCACATTTCAACACAAATCTTTTGATTAATTTTATCTTATCAAAGTACAAACACACCACAAAAAGCTATAGTGTGTTAAATATGACTGTATTACAATAAAATATTTTATTAAATTCATGTAACTTTGTAAATTTTCTCAGGCTTAAAATTCCTACCGCTTTTCCATTATACAGCTGTGAAGTTGGTATTAAATTTCATCCTTGGTGGTATTAAAACAAGTTTTAAATATATAGGACTGCTGTTTAGTTAGCAGTCAGCATAACAGCATAGTTTCAACATGAACCGAAAATATTTTTACACATTTCATAATAACATTTCAGACCCCTACTGTTGTGTTTTGTGTGCCACTGCTGAAAGCTCGCACTCGTTGGTGAAAAGGTGATTAAGGTAGCCGTGCATATTCGGTTTCGGCTTTGGCCAAGAATTTTTATTTTGGTGTATCTCCAACAGTCATCACAGTACTATACTATTGTAATTCAATGTTTGAACCTGGACTGTGTGCAAGACCTTTTTAAATGTGTAGAAGAAAAGGTATTATATTAAAATGGGGGTGGTGATGGCACATAGATAAGATGCTTGCCTTTGGTGTGGAGACCTGGGTTTGATTCCCACTGTGACCCCATCCACCAATGTGCCTGAGCAAGACACTTAACCCCTAGTTGCTCCAGAGGTGTGTGAGCTCTGACATGTATAGCAATTGTAAGTCGCTTTGGATAAAAGCGTCAGCTAAATGAAATAAAATAAATACAAACCTCCGCCGTCCGCCACTGTAAGACTGTCATTTTGTGGAAAACACTGGCTCGCTCCACCATGACATCTCACTCCCTGTCTTTCTCTCTGTATGTCTTTTGCTGTAGAAACGAAGAGGAGGAGAGGGACTCAAACGTCAGCACTGTGACAAATCCTTTGCAAGATCTGAACATTTAAAGATTCGTGAGAGTGTTCACACTGGAGAGAAATACAGCTGTGACCAATGCGGGAAAGCCTTCATTCAATCATCTAAACTAACAATTCACCGACGTGTTCGCACTGAAGAGAAACCATACCGCTGCATCCAGTGTGGGAAAGCTTTCATAACATCTATACTAACAATTCACCGACTTGTTCAAAGTAGAGAGAAACCATATAGCTGTGACCAGTGTGGGACAGCTTTCAGGAAATTTAGTGACCTAAAGGTCCACAGACGTGTTCACACTGGAGAGAAACCATATAGCTGTGACCAATGTGGGAAAGCGTACGCAACATCAGGCAACCTAAAAATACACCTACGTGGTCACAGAGGAGAAAAACCTTACAGCTGTGACCAATGTGGGGAAGCTTTCAACACATCGGGTCACCTACAAAGGCACCAACGTGTTCACGCTGGAGAAAAACCTTACCGGTGTGACCAGTGTGGGAAAGCTTTCACAACATTACACGAACTAAAAATACACCAACGTGTTCACACTGGAGAGAAACCGTACAGCTGTGACCAGTGTGATAAAGCTTTCACTTCATCTGGTCACCTACAAAGGCACCGACGTATTCACACTGGAGAGAAACCGTACAGCTGTGACCAGTGTAGGAAAGCTTTCACTACATCAAATCAACTAAAAATACATCAACGTGTTCACACTGGAGAGAGACCGTACAGCTGTGATCAGTGTGGGAAGGCTTTCACCTCATTAAGTGATTTGACAAAGCACAGACGTGTTCACACTGGAGAGAAACCGTACTGGTGTGAACAATGTGGGAAAATGTTTGCTCAGAGCAGTAGCCTTAAAGGCCACCAACGCACTCATGATGCTTAGTTTTGAACATATTTCAGGGCCAAGTGAGGTGTTTCCTCCTGCCTTCTTGATTCCTGATTAGGAATGCAGTGATTACCGGATTTCACTATTAACCACGCTTTAAAACGTCAGGACTAATGTGTAAAGGCTACATCAAGTGTTTCTCTTGTGGGGAACAAAACTGTTGCGTGCTTATCAGACACATGGAGGCTACTACTGTACACTGGTTAACTCTGGCGTAGGGACCAAACTGTGAAGCTTTATTTCCACCAAAGAAACAGCAGTTTTGGGGTTAAAAGATTGCTGCTAAAGTAGCGAATACCTACATCAAATTTGATGTAGCTCGCGCGCACACCGCTGTCAAATTAAAACATTTTTGCGCTGAATCCAGCTTCCACGCTGCGTAAATCTCTTCTTTTCTGAAAGGTTCTCTATGCAAGAACGTAGCCCTCTCAAAACCTTTAGTCCCTGAACATTCAACATTACATCCTGTTGCCTCCTCCTGTCTGTGCTGAGAAAATGTTGCCAGGGGTAAAACACTAACAAAACATTAGGAGCTTATGGACTTTCTGGACTATACCAATTAACTGCATTTCAGTTACTAATAACAAACACCGCATGAGTGATTTAATTTTCACTAAAACCTATACGATGATCATGAGAGTGGATGGCAATAACGGTTCAGTTTACTACCCTCCTTAATAACAATTTCCCCTGAGGATAAATGAAGTTAATATTCCTCTAATTAATTAAATATGAAATATAAACTTAAGTCATCACTGGTCTTTTAAAATTAAGTAATGCATAATATTCGTGAAAAACCTTGATTATACTATAATCGTACGAACAACATCTGT